ATTGTTATTATTATCATAAACTTACGCTCACATACCTCTTATAATAATTCGAATTAACATCGACAAATTGTACTATTACTTATTGTCACTATTTCCTCCCGTTGTTTTCGTTATCTGGTTACGTCTCAACTGCTCGATGAAACAACCTGCAGCTATAGATTCATTAATAATGTATCATCAAAGGGTCTAACAGACGGTAATTTTTTTCTCTTTCAGCAACGGAATTTTTTAGCAACGCAAAAAGTATCTGCAAGCTGTGCATCTTCCACGGATCTTTTGAAATTTTTACGATATGGCCATTTCGTTTTCTTATTACGAACGTAAAAATTTTTTTTCTTATACACGCAGTTGCGACCTTTCATTTACGAAGTCTTCGCAAAAAAGAAAAAAATACAAAATAACGACCAGTACCAATGAACTTTGAATGCTCGTTTTTGCGCACTTACCATTATAATTTATATATCCTACCCTTTCGCCAAATGAACATTTTGACGATAACAGCATATGTTCGTTCTGATTGCTGCAATATTTACGACGGTGCAATGTACCATGTTTCAAGAATTTCGTCAGAAGCATGCGTGGTAATAACGTTCAGAAAGTGGGGATGATATCATTGACGAAGGACGATCAGTAATTCTTTGACCAATGGATAGTTTAGATGAATATAATGGTATTCTTTTTTTATTTAGTTAATAATTTTAACGAGACATATATTAAATATAAAACATTATTTCTCTGTGTTACAATTTAAGATTGCTGTATTAAATGTTTATTCATATAAGAGAATAAGAGAGTGTATTGAAAAGCCAGAAACAATAATTGACGTTTTAAATTTCAATACATAACAATATATTTTTGTTTTCGTATCATCTAATAGATAATATATCTTACATGTTATTAAATTAAGTTGCAATACAATAATTAAAAAATGAATTCATTATTTTTATAGCATCAAAATTAAAAAAAAATGTTTTATATTCTACTTTTCAATTATTTCTCTCTTTTTTTCTCCTTCTTGTAGATATAATCAATATAAAGTTTTAAGTTGATGCACAAATTCTTATATGAAAGTGATATAAATCTGTGTAGATTTATATTAATTTTATATTTAATATGTATTTTAATTTCAAAAATGAAATTTTTATTAAGAAATGATATAATTGTGTATATATATTTTACCTTCAATCTTTAAGAATGTAAAATATACATATAAACAATATGCATATAAAACTACGAAAAAATATGTGAAGTTATGTTTTATATAGTGTAAAATGAAAAATAATATTCACAAATCCAACTAATATCTTACTAAACAAATAACTTATCTTAATAACAATATCTTACTAAAATTTAATCTATCCAACTAATATCTTATAACAATATGTAAAGTTATATAAGAAAACATATGTAAAATTTTATAGTATAAAGTGATATTTAAGTAAATATAATTCTAATATATTTGATCTATTACACAGATTTAGAATGGGCGATTAGTCTGAATCGCTGCATGTTAAAAATCATCGGTTTGTGGCCGAAAGAAAGCAAAATTCAATGTGAAGAATTATTATCAAAAATTCGATTTCTATTTAATGTTATTATGTTGATTTTTGTATTAACTATACCGGCTTTAATGTCACTGATAAAAGTATGGGGCGATATGATATTAATGATAGATAATTTACAATATACCCTACCTCTTTTGATAACGATGTTGAAAGTCTTCATTATGTGGTACAACAAAGGAGGTATTTTATTATTTAACAAACTGATTTATTTCAGTCTTCTATATTTTTCTCCATTTTATTATTTTATTGAACTAATACATAAATGCTTTGACTACTTTCTGAAACTATGAATTTTAACAAATATATACTACTCCACTAAATCCATAAATTGAGTTAAGAACACGAGCACAATATCATAATAATGTTACAAGAAAATAATATCACATATATGTATATTAAAAACAAATTATTTTCCTAGCTTTATCGCCGTTGATTGATATGATTGTGAAAGATTGGATAAAAGTAAAAATGGAAGAAGAACGAATTGTCATGCTAAAACAAGCCAGAATCACTCGCTCGCTTGCTATTTGCGGAGCACTTATGATACTTTCCACATTGTTGATAACTTTCGGTTCTTTCCTTTTTGGCAAGACACTTAGGCACGTAACGAATTTTACCGATCCGGTTGGAAAGCATTTGCCAATCCAAACATACTATCCACACGATATATCTAACAGCCCGAATTTTGAATTAACATATTTGATACAAGTAATCGGACTAACTACATCTGGTCTCTCTTATACCGCAGTCGACAACTTCCTTGGACTTTTGATCTTACATATATGCGGCCAGATGGAGAATCTATATCTGCGACTTTTGAATTTGGGAAAGAATTCAAATTTCAAAGAGCTTTTAAAGCACAATGTGAAAGATCACATTCGCTTGATCAGGTCCTGAATTGAAAATATTCATAAATGTTCAAAATCGATTTGTCGAATCTTTTCTCTAAAGAAATTCTGTAAAGAATATATCAAAATTTGATTTTTAAAAACGCAATGTGCAATTTTGCTTCATGCTGTAATTTTTAGAAATAAGTAAATTAAAAATTAGAATCATTTAAAATAATAGAAATTAAATTTTTTAAAATAATTTTATAGAAAATGTATAAATGTTTTACATAACATTTGAAATTTATGTATCGTTTTTTACTTCATAGTATCTATTTTACAGATCTATAGAAACTATTGATAACACATTCAACTTAATGCTGCTCGGTCTGTTATTCTTTTTTGGTATACTGTTTTGTTTTGATGGATTTCTAATAATTAGCGTAAGTAAAAATAATAGTATAGCATATATCATATTGTTAAGGTCTACGGTAGATATTAGATTATTATATTATTAATTAATAAATAATATTGATGTTGCAAGCTACAATGCTGATCCTTTATCAAAATGCAATGCTAATCCTTTATAGATGTTTTACTTTTTATAATTTTTCATGTAATATAATTTTCAAATCAATAAAATAATATATTTTAAAATACAATGTATATAATTTACAATAATTTAGATTATTGAGCGAGGTGGTTATTTATCGTTGATGCAATTGATTTGGTACATGTCCGCCACTATATGTGTTTTAATGCATACGTGTCTTTATTGTGCGGTCGGTGAACTTCTCGTGACGCAAGTAAGTATTAATAATGATTTCTTTAATAATTGCGAGACTAAACTAATTCTATACTTTAGAACGTTTTTATAACTTTAACTGTAAACGAAAATATTTTTTTAACAATTATAATTTTCAAAAATATAAATTTTAATATGTCCATAATAATCGGAGTATCCTATTTGAAGCTTTGGATGTAATTATCTCTCAAACTATTCATTATTTCAAAAAAATGTTTTAAGTGGAACTTATTTTTGGTTGTCATTTTTAGCTGATTTCGTATAAAAACAAACCACAAATATATAAGTTATAAATAAATATATAAGTTATGAGTTTTTACTTCTTTAATTATTAAAATCATCTTTTTATTAATAAAATGCAATAATTAATTCCGAGAAATAAGGGGGTATCTCTTTAGAAGATTATGTCAGTATATCGGCGACTTTCCTCTATTATTGAAATATAATAATGAACGTGATAGTATTAGTTTGCAGTAGAAAAATAGAAATTGCAAAATCGTACATTTTAACTGTAATTCAATCAATGGATTTAATTCTCAAAAAATCGAATTTTTTTACAATCAAGTGACGTAATTTAAATAATTAATTTCACTCATTCTCTCATTCGCGCTTGCGCGCAAGAAAGATTAATTCTTTAGTCCAATTAATTTATAAATGTATATATATATATATATATATA